GCCAGGAATAGGGGTGTGAGATGCCTGCTCTATTTGCTGGATTCTGTTGATGCAGTCTTTGACATCACAGCCTATTGGACAAGAAATGGCAGGTCAACCAAAGTTGATGCTTTTTGTTTACTCTTTGGGTAACGCACACTTCCTCTCTTCATGTCTCGTTCTACCTATCAAAAATACAATGTTCCCAGATGCCCGAGGGACGGAACACAGACAGGAACTATCACTATGACAACGGCTTCTGTGTGCTGCCTGACACCCAGACTCTGCTGTGGGAGGGTGTGGTAGAGAGAGAGAGAAAGAGAGAGAGAGAGATTAAGAGAGAGGGGAGGGTGTTCAGACAACCCCGTTTCGGCCCCCTGGGATTTTGCGGTTTTCTTGTGTTCATGTGTAGAAATTAGCATAAAGACAGAAAATGTGAGACCGAACAGAATGGTCCATCAAGAGCGATATTTAAGGAGAGATGTGTGCCGGGAGTTTGCAGGACACGTGTCCTCATGGTGTCCTCAGGGTCTGAGTGCCCTATTGCGGTTTAAGATCAGGACCACATCCAACAAATATTTCACCATGCAGCAAATTTAATATACCCTACCTGTTTATGCACAATGGGTTTCAGCTGGTTGTGCATCATCTGTAGTAGCTCCCGGGACAGAAATAATCACAATCAAGTTAAACCATTGAGATGATGCTGTGTCAAGGCTTTTGTCTGCCCTTCCTGTAAGCATGTGGTGGTATTTGGAATGCATTGTGGTCGGTAGGAGCCTAGATGCCGGCTGTGATGTGGTGGAGTAGAAGCAAAAGTGCTTTCCAGAGATATAAGGATTATCAAGCTTAAATGCACATGAGTTTGACTCTGTAATGAAGTGATAGAATGCTAGTTGTCCATGTATCAGATACTCTAACAATGCTCTTGAAAGAAGTTACAGTCAAAGATGCAATAAATGTTGGACCCCGCTAGACTAACACTGTAACCTATATATGTAATATACAATGTAACAATTCTCTTTGAAATGCTTATATGAGTCTTAACACATTAGGGACACTTCATCGGGCATAAAACATTTGGCAGAAACATGGAAATTGGAAGGAGCAGTAATTTATCAATGATTTCCCAGTCAATTCTAGTAACTGTGTGATTTGGCTCAGTTGGACTTACATCTACTTGCCATGCCACTTTGTGTTTCCACCGACTTCCACTATGAGCTCAGTGTGGGTTTGTTCAATTTAGGTGACAGTTCCCTCGGTCTCATTGGACAAAGTATTCTGCTATTAGAGAAAGGAGTGTTTGTATCTTGTTTGTCCATGGGCGAGTCGTGTTTCTTTTTAAAATAATTACAAACTAATTGTAGATGGTAATTTTAAAGCTTTTTGGTGGTATTGCATTTTGTGGCAATATGCAGTCTATAAGAGTCTGTGTCATGCAACAACTGAGAAAAGGTTCATATTTGTCTGACCTGACCTGGCTTTGCCTGCTTTCTGAATCCCATATAAATGGGCAAGAAAAAGATGTGCTAAAGAGTACAGAGTATGGTTACGACAAGTGGAATTTCTATGGTAGATCTGATTATTATGGTTTTTGCTCTACAAATTGGGATTGAGTTTGCATGTTCTCCTAGTGCTTGAGTAGGTTTCCTCCCACAACCCAAAATTTGCTTCAGGTTAATTGAAGATGAAGAACATTGCTTGTAGGAGTCAATGTGGTAGGGAGTACCCTCCCTTTAGCCCATTCTGAACTTGGAATTGTGGATCTACAAGATGATCATGTATACAGTGACCTTAAATGTAAGGTTTGCTTCTACAGTGGCTCTGAATGGTCAAATAGTGAAAAACATGTGTTACCAAAGCTATTCCGTGACCAAAGCTAAACTTTTTGCACTTTAAATTCTTTCAAGGAACAATTTTTGTACTGAGACTAGTGGTAAAATCACTTCTACTGACAGTTTTATATAACTGCGTAGACCCTCACATCTTGAATTGCTGCTGATGGAAGACAGATTTGACCACTGCTGGCCACAAGTTACAAGTTGGCAGGCTCAGATTTGGAAATCTGAAGAAACCCAAACCACTTTGACTAGGCTAAAGCTTGAAGCACATGGAAAGTTCTTTGAGAGCCTGGACTGGATGTTCTTATTAACCAGGTTATATCTTGATCATGATTGTTATTACTTTCTTTGTTCTTGTAGGAGTTCAACCCGCTCAAAGTTAAATACTTCATGGTGTTTCATTTTTGGTTGGCCCCTCAGGCGCAAAGGTGGTGTGCTACAGACCCTTCATTGTCTTAGGAATGCCATTCGTGTTTCCCCTACTCCAAGCCCCTGTCTGGCAGAAACGAGGCACTCTCTTTTTCCTTGTGCTTGCAGATTCTCTTGGGTTCAGAGTTTTCATACGTTTTCCCAGCTTTCAAACTGGGCGAATGTTAACTGTAGTGTGCTAAGCTTCTTAACCCCCGTCGTAGGAGCTCCAGAGACTCTTTCCAAAGAGAAATGATTTCTGCTTGCATGAATAGAAAGAGAATCAGAGAAAGAAGAAAAGGAGGGAGAGGTGGGAAACTCCCCCTTTCAGCAGGCAACATCAATGATCCCAATGGGAACGCCCTTCCCACCAACCATCCTTGCAAAGTATGGATTGTAATATGACCTCTTTGAATGTTTCACATTAGAACTCAGATGGAAACACTGGCATTAAACCCTTCTTACGTCATATTCAACCCTCTTGTCTCCTCTTTCCTTTGTGTGTCTCTGGTTCATCTGCTGCTGTTCTTGGTTCGAGTTGGGAAAGTCCTCACACATATTAGCTGGCTTGTCTACATACGTGACTTCTGATTAGGCCCTTGAGCAAGCATAATTGTGGGCCACTGAGATTGAGAAACCCAGGGGGTTCTGGGAATACAGTGTGTGTGTGTGTGTGTACAAGTGTGCAAATTTGCAGGGTATGGGTGTACATGAGGGGTTTCCTCAGCAGATTTGTTTACTGTTAATTAATTCACCTGATTGATACAACAGCTGTTGACGCCATGGGAGGGAATGGTTGGGAGTTAAAGAGGAAGCAGATAGAACCCTCGTCATAGTGGATTCCCGATGTTACACAATGTAGATTAAATTGATTAAAAGGCACATCTGTCAGCCAGCATGAGTGATTATGGCTGTCAGTCTCCATTGGCTCATCTTTATGGAGTCAATGCTACTGTTTATGGACATAAAAAAAATTAAGAATTCAAAAATTTAAAGTTAAGAATTTCCCTTGATCAAAACCCTGTCCGCCAATGGGACAATTAAGTAGCTAACAAGGCCTATTAGGCTTGGAGCAAAAAGAAAAGTACAAATTAAAAATCATGCAAGGGTTAACAGGAACTGAAATGTCCCTCTTTATGTGGTGGAGAAGGCGAGAGATAGCCGTTGCAAACAGCCAAGCCTATCAAAAGCCACAGGCTCCTTTAAACTCTATCTTCATTCTCCTCTCACGCTTTCTCTCACACTCCCTCTCTTTCGCTCCCTGGCCGTGCGAGTGATTGACGGCCTGAGGGTTTTAATGGGCACCAGAGAGCGGGAGAGCCAAGGTCTGAGTTGTCATGGCAACAAGCCGATTGGGCCCTCTGCCGCTCTACCTGAGTGCAGCAGAGCCGCAGTGTATATGCACGAGCTACTAGTGAATCCAGTCCCGTTAATGGGCCTGTGGTAAATCTGGTCAGTGATGTGTTGTTTTTCTTTTTGTGGTAGTCCTTGATGTTTCCTCCTTTTCACTCGTTCATATGCTCCACGAATGGAGCCGCAGCTATTATGGCAGTTTAACCTACACCAGCCGCTGTGTAAATAAAATCTCACAGACCTGATCTGTCACACCACCCCTCCTTCTCCTTAACTAAATACACTTGCCAATCCTCCCCTGCATGCAAACACCACGCCTGGCTGTACCTTACCTGTTATCTGTCCAGCACCAGCCACAGTCTCCTTTTCTGCCCTCAGTTATGAGAAAATGCAGATTAAATGCAAATCTTGGAGCTTTTGCTGAAGTTTTTCCTGGTTTTCATTTGTCATGTTTCTGACTTTGTTACGGGGATAAATAATCTCAGGTTGAAATATCACCATTATTTACTAATCTTTGGCATATCGTTCATTGAAAAAAATTAAAAAACACATCTGTGAACTAGGAAGTGAACGCTTTTCCAGTGTACGGTAATGAAACAGTTTTGTTCATTGTGTTTCTTCTGAGCAACACTTTTTGGGAGCTTCTTTTGATATGATAAAACTGCTCCTCTGAAATTAGATGTTTACCATTTTTAAGTGTTTGGGCCTTCTTGTTTTGGTTTTATTGAAATCTTTTTTCAAAGTCACTATTTCTGGTCGTGAATGCATTGCTGTGTTGGTGTGCAGTCCAGTCAGGTCTTTATCCATCACACTCTACACACTATCCACAAGGCCTCAACACACTGATCTGAATTTTCAACTGCAACTCGAACGGAAACCATGGGCGCCAACAGTAACTCACGCATTTGAATGAACGAGTGGTGCCAATGAAAAAGAGTTTGGGATTGCCATATTGGATTGGTTTTTGCGAATGACCGCTCATCCCACATTTTCATAGAAACTTCGTACAGGAAACAGGAAAGAAATAGCATGCAAAAAATCCTCTCTTTTCTCCACGTTTTTGTCAAACAGCTCCCTGTGATCAGCCACCAACAGTATAAACCTCATGACATCCATGATTCTTTCAGTGTTCTTTGATTTCTTCTTCTTTCCTGTTTCCCTCTGTGGAACAGAGTGCATCTGTTGCACCACAAACGCCATCTTTAAGCTGAGACCGTCATTGCAGCTCAATTCGGATCAGTGTGCAGAGGCCTTTACTCCAACGGGTTCTAAGGACGGAAGGCATTTAATATCTCCTCACTCAAAATCCACAACCAAACCATCCTATGAAATGCAATTTTGCCAATAGTATTGTCTTGACTTTGACTTACGTAGTGTGTTAGACCTACTTCTTTACAGAGAGTTAAGTGACAATGGACAAATCCTGTGGCACAGTCAGTTGAGCATTGTGCTTACAACGCAAAGGTCATGGGTTCGAACACCGGGGTAAAGCAAGAACTGATGAAATGTGTCCATTTCTTGAAATGTATGTTCAAAAGCATAATGCATAAATTTAAATGTACTGTAATATGAATGACAAAATGAAATGATTTTGAGGAAAATTTTGAACCACAAATGCAGGCACAAGCAAACAATACTCACATGATTGTTCACGCTTTTCCCCCAACCTGTGTAACAACAGCACGACTCGATTCAATGTTTTCTTGAGGGTTTTTCCACCAGGTTCTGTACCCTGTAGCAGTACTTTCTCATGTGCATTTGGATAAGGTTCTAAAAGCAGATGACTTTTCTCTGATTTGAAAGAAATGCATGACAGAACATCCTGTTGACCCCTGATTGGTCAGAACACCAACACGGGAAAACCATGCACTTTTAATACTAGCTAGCAAACATTTCAACCTTTAATTTTTACTGCTTTTAAAAAGAAAAATTACTTGACCAGAGACAAACAAGTTTTCACTAAGTCTCTTAAGTTTGACAATGTGAATTCTTTCTGGGATTTTTCAAAACCTAGTGTTGAACATGAACCTTTTCTCATGGTTCCTCATGCTGCTGTGTATGAAACAGTGGCCTTTGCTCTCGCAGGGTCAGCAGTGAGTGTCTGGGCTGTTAAGGTCAGCGGCACTGAGGCGATTTACCCTCCTCCACCCCAATGAGAGTGAAGGATCTCATTACAGGTTGGAGGAGGGGACGCCAGGACCTCTGTGTTCCCTGTCTACTCCTTCATGGGAAAGACATTACTAAGTTGGACTAGGGTATGGAGTACCCTGTTGTTAACCAGACAAATGCCACTGTTCGTTTAACATTTATGAATAATGTACAATTTTCAAGTTTTGTTTCAATAATTTCCTTGCTTTTGTCACATTTCAGAGTGCAGCAGCAGCTCCCAGTCCTGTGATGGGCAACATGCCACCCAACGATGGGATGCCAGGTGGACCCATGCCTCCTGGCTTCTTTCAAGTAAGAACTACTCTATAGCCCCTCATGTTCTTGCCTATCCTCCTAACCCTGAATGTTAAGCTTTTACTATTTGTCTGTCCTTCATCACAACCCTTTTTCTTCCTTAGGTTTCTTTCCATTACCTGTTTCCATTTTGTGGGTCTAAATTAATTCTTCAGTGCAAATCACTGTGATAAAAACTGAGAATTGAGGCTGCTGAATCATAAAATAAAGGCAATTGTAGATATAATGTATTACGACCTACTGCCATTATGAGGTACACTTTTGAGGCAAATTGTGTTGCCTATGGATTTCTGATCAATGTTTTGGAGGCTCAGTTTGAAGCGTGGGACACATGAAGTTCAACATCAGTGAATTAAAAATATAAAACATAATACCAGGATTTTAAAGTGCTTTTCTGCTGTAAAGTGGATCACTTTATAATGGGTGTCAATGGGAATCTGCTCACTTCTGATAACAGTCTCAGGTGGCCTCCTCGAAGTTGGGGCACAGACATGAGAGGGAATGGAAAAGGCAAGAGGAGTAGGCAGAGCTCCACCAATAATGTCTGAAATGGACCAAAAGTGGCTTCAACTCTCATTAACTTGCAGTGACCTACACTACTGTGCAATCTCTCTACAGATGGCAATAGAGGCACCTTCATCCTCCATCAGCAAAGTATCCGAGATATATCTTGACAGTTAAAGGTTGACTATGAAATATATCTCCAGAAAAGGTTGACCAGTTGGGTAATGCCAATGACTGGCCCAAAGACTTGTCCTGTAGAGTATATCCTTCATAATTACACCCCAACAAACAATGACCATAGCAAATACTCTAACTGGGATTTTGTAGATTGAAAACCGAAAACAACCTGGCTGTACACATGAAACTTTGCACTCTCTTATTATCCCTTTAAATCCAAATGGCAAAAACTAATTTATACAAGCATGGTGGTGGCAACACATATCTGACAACAAATCTGTGCATTAGCAATTCAGAGTTGGAAGTTGGGGCATGCTCGAAGGCATAGTTCCCAAAGTCAAGATGCCTGTGGGATTTTGTCTGCCATAATGATCTTCATTGAGCTATTTATTATTTATTGAGCTATTTAAAGCCAGACAATAGGTAGTCACCTTTCCATGAAAACAATGATTGCCTTAAACAGTCAAACTCCTTCAATCAAACATTCATTCATTTTCATACCCGCTTCTTCCCTTTCGGGGTCACGGGGGTCTGCCGGTGCCTATCTCCAGCACACATTGGGCGAGAGATAGGGGTAAACCCACGCAAGCACAGGGAGAACATGCAAACTTCTTCCAGGAAGGTCAAAACCTTCTAACTGGAAGGCCACAGTGCTAACCACTGCGCCCCTTCAATCAAACAAAATCACACAAAGACAAGGTCTCATACATTTACTTTTCATGAGTTGTGTTTTAAAGTGTGTTTAGGTCTTGAAAGGGTTATTTAGGTCCATAACTTTAAAAAATCAGGCTTTGTTGACTTTTTATTTTATACTTAGTCCAGTCAAACATTAAATAAAATGACCGTTATGGGAAACTGAGATACTTTAGAACTGAACCAATAGAGCAATCATACCTTACGTGATACTCTTTCTGCTCCTGACTCTTTCGGTCTTTAAATTAAACAATTCAAGACTGAATTAAAAAAAATCTGAGATAGCAAGGGTGAAAGAAACATTTGATCACCTTATATCCTGCAAGAATTCTAGCTCTCCCAGATAGTTTGGCTTCTTCTATTCAAAAGGTACATATCACACTGTTCATCAATCAGATCTCTCCAATATGGGGAAGAACAATGAACACCAGGGACAAAATTGTAGACGCATAATTGCAAACAGCTTGAAGAGAGGAACCATGGTTGCCATTTGTGAATAGAACCCTGCTGCATGTGTAAGGTCCCTCTGCTCAGCACACGTTCAAGTCTAGAGTTGATCTATAAGAGGAATGGGACAAGACCTTGTAATCAGACCAGACAAAAATCTAATATTTTATGAGAAGATTTATGATTACAAACCCAAGAATATCCCAACCAATGAAGCACGGGGATGGAATTATCATGCTTTGGGGGTGCTGGATGACAGCACTATGTTTCATGCGAGGATGCAAAGGACCATTCCTTAAATTTCTTATTTCATGGAATATGTGTGAATTAATCATTTAAACAGTTCGACTTTCTGGATGTCACTTACTCTTTCACAGTTGAAATGTAGCTAGGATCAAAAGATACAGATCTAGCCATTTTTGGTTTACTTGAAAATCAGTAGTGTATTAAATACACTAAATATACAACATCAAATTTGACCAACATAAATATAACATAAAGAAAAATATACAAAATGAGCACCAGACAGAGCATCACATGTGTTGGTAGATGATCATCTGACATGGACTTTGAGATGAGGAAGAGAGCGCTAATGTTGTATGAGCCATGTTCAGAGCAGGAAGCGATCTGACTGTTGCGTGAGTGACATTGCATTCTATAAATAGTGCCTGTGTGCATAAGAGCGGGAGCGAAAGAGAGAAAAATAAGAAAGGGAGGAAGAGGGAGGACTTTGTGCTCCACTGCAGTAATTCCCTCTTGGTACCAGCTCAGGGCATGGCAGAAGAGAGGCATGGATAGAGTGAAGACAGAAAAATGAAAGAAAGAAAGAGGAATGTTGAAAGATGAGGCATTGAGGCATTGATCACTAAAAACAGGCTCCTTCAGATGCATGTGTATACCGTGTACATGTTCCCTTTTCCACGCGACCAGTTGCTATAGTCAGGTGACACCAATTATATCTTGGCGTGGATCCTAGTGGCTAGTATATCACTCTTTCACACCTCTCCAGAGCTAACTACTGCTCCATTCTCCACAAGATGACAGCCACAGCTAGACACAGATGTGCTAATAATTGGAACTACTCTTTTAATTGAATTGTGATTAAAACATGTAGAGAAGAGTGTGCCAACACTTATGCCACAATTAAACCTTTCCTTTCCATGTCCTTAGATTAAATGATATTAATACTTTTTCATCATGTATTTTTATAATAATCATTAGTTACTGGCTGGTAACAACATGCAAAGTAAGAAGTTTCTTGCCTTTCCTGTACTGGAGCCAAAATCAAGATTCTCCGATGCATATATATTTTTGCTCTCCTTCAAATTCTTATAAATTCAACATTTTAATCTCCATTAATAAAGAAAACTTGGTACATTTCCTGTAGAGTCATATTTTGATTAGGGTTGGGGTTTTTACTCATAAATCTAACTCTGACAATTACCTCTGATATATAAAATGAAAGGATGAACAAAAATGAAGTATTAATTGTATTATTGAAGTATTAAGGACTCTGGAAGACATCACCAAAAAGTTGGTGAAGAGGGAATTTTGAATATGAAAGTGGGTGGTATCAGAAGGGCTGGGTTGAGTGGATACATTCCCATTCCCAACATTTTTTTTAATAAGACAATATGGAACTGTCACAGGTTAGCCACCATTGAAGCTCATTACCACTTCCCCATACAAACCTAATCAGCCAGAGAACCGCCTTCAAGCTACCATGCCTTGATACTAGGCAGATTCAGATAATGAACTAGTGAAATTGAGAATCAATTGATTCAGGAAACCGGATGGGAGACCCAGTGGTTGACCCAAATGGCTTTACACACAAATAATTGAAAATGGGCAAAAAAGTTACCACCCCTTTAGCACTATACCAGACTTACACTGGCACTAAACCATTGGGTCAATAGCAAAAAAATGTTGGCCGTTTATAAGTTTTATCAGAGACATTCAACACAAGTTGGGGGAAATAATGAAAGCCAACATTGATAGTATAGTGGGAAATTCTCTGTGAGGCTTTGGTAGGAAATCATAATGGTAGTGGAGCTCTGCAGCCAGGACGTCCAAGTCTTGCCATTTCCAGATGCACCAATGATGATTAGTCTTTGGAGCTGCAGTAGCCATTTGATCCGCACAGTTCTCCAAAACAGGCAGGAAGGTGAAAAGGGCTGAAAATTTTACACACCCTCTTGCCAAACT